TGGTGGCCAGTCTCCCTTCACCAAAGAAGCCCCATATGCAAAAGATGGCTCCTGCTGGAAGGGTGATTTTTATTGGCATGTAAGGATGCAAATTTTATACAATTTTATCTAATTACATTCCATTTTTGTTTATCAAATACAATTTTTTTCCTCAGTGGCTAACCTCTATACAATTTTACCTAATTACATTCTGTTCTTGTTTCTGTTCTTGTTTATCAAATGCAATTTTATCCTCAGTGGCTAACCTCTATTTTATAGATCACTGTAAAGTATAAGTGGGATAATTATGCTTGTTGAGAAATATGAAATCTTTAGCAAGAGTTGTGAAACACTGAGGCTATCATTGCCAGCAATGGGGATGTCAAAAGCACCAAAGATTCGGTAGGGGGGGGGGAGTCTATGTACGCAAATGCTAGATGAGTGAAAACACCCTCGCTCCATGGCAACCACTTGTCATGGAATGAGGACCGGACTATGGGGCCAAATATGAAAGAGGACGGACTATGGAGCCAATGCAGAAAGAGGACGGTCTGGGAATCCTAACCCATTCCCCCGAAATTCGACCCATTCCTTAGAAAGCGCGCATGTACGCAGGCGCGCACGCCAGCGATTGAAAACAGTGTGACGTAGGGAATACAATAGGATGAAGGGAAATTTGAAGAAGGAGTGGAAGAGATTGTAGGGGGCTTCGTGGTCCTAGCTCGCCCGCCCCCCCCCGCTTTGGTAGCGCCGCGTGAGGAGAATGTGCCGTTGCTGGGGGTTTGGCATCGTTCGAACCTCGCGGGCGGGCGCGCGCGCGAAGCAGCTCCGTGGAGAGGGAGGCAAGCCGGATGAAAAATGGGAGGGCTTCACAATGCCGGCCTTCAGCTAATGAAGCTATTAACTGCTTAGCCGTCTCGCAGCTCTCGCTGTCTCCCTCCCCTTATATAAATAGTCCAAATGAAATAATCTAGCAGGTATACAACGAGCGGCAGATTTTAATAGAGATATACCGAAGAACGTGGGTAGGGGCCAGAATAAGCTTAAAAGTACAAAATGGTTTCTTTCCCCGAGAGAAAGAGAGGGGCGGATGGATGAAAAGTCTGTGAAAATAGGTTGCCGTTGGCAAAGCCCAGCAATGGGGCTTGTACCCCCGAAGGATCTTGTAACCAGGTTGGAAAACCAACGGAGAGTATTTGGTCAATTCAGTTCAATCTCGAGCAGAAAAGATATCTCAGTACAGAAATACACTGAGGCAACTTAAAAAAAAAATATCCAAGTGAAAGTAATTCCCACTGAAATGGGTGCAGCTTTAAACTAATCCAAGCATTGATTGAATCATTTCCTGCTTCCCCCCCCCCTTTTTTTGTTGCAGTGTGGCTGTAACTAAGGGAAAATGCACGTGTAAACATGCTAATATTAACCTGACTACAATTTAAAGGCTGCAGATATCTTAAGTATAGGATTAATGCCACTCCACTGCAATGTATTTTAGTTTTAAAAATCAGAACCTAAAATCTTACATCACAACCAGATAATATGAAACCCAAAATAGCTGGGAGAAAAAGTAGGAAATACTTAGTAGCAAAACTCTAGCATTAAGATGTCATGGCCATAAAGAGCAAAATAAGTTTTTAAGAATTGCTTTGTGCAACAAAAAGCAAATATAATCAGTCTCAACAACGCTATGTTTCATTAAATTTTACCTGAATTTCATGAATGCGGGCAAAACCATCCTTGCAGAAAAATTCGATGAGATTGGAGAAAGTCTTGGGTCCTGGCATTTCTTTCAGGCTTTTCACTGTTTGGCGGCTTGGATGCTGGCTGGATTTGAGAAGTCCCTTAGCGTTTTCTGAAGTTTCCACCATCTCTTCTTTGTCCTCTGTTGCTGCAGCTGCATTATTTTGCATCTCCAAGGAAGTGCTGCCTGAAAGTTTGGGCAGTTGGTGAAACTTATTGCCAAAATCCATACTATAAATACAGTTCCTTTGAGCTTCAATCACCTGTTTGCAATCAATTTTCAAAGCTTTGGAGAGAAAAGACATTTTTTTAAGTTGGACAAAACTTTTGCTAACCCTCACAAACTGATTTCATTTAGACTGAGCTTCTCTGTTTGATTTCTAGTCAAGCAGCGCTTCTCCAAACTCTCACTGCCTGAGCATCAGTTTACACAGGCCATTATTAAAGACTCCCTCCCTAGAGGCTGAAAAAGGTGGGGTAGTCTGAGACTTCAATGGAGAAAGCCGATGATGTATTTTGTTTCATTTAGGTTGGATAAGTGCCATACTTAAATACATTATCTTACATTGCCAACTTTGAGGCTTCTATTTTATGTTGGTTTGGCAAAAGAAATTGAGTTATGTGTCTATTTTTTGCAGTTTACTTGGTTTTTATGTGTCAATACTAAAATAGAACATTTAAAAACTTATTTAATGTGTAACAGTGCATTGCAGAAAAGGCACAAAAAGATATTTCAGTAATGTTCATCAGTGCTTAAATTTTGTTATTTCATGTTTCATATTAAAGAGACAATATTGTATCTTGAAGCTAACATGCCTTGTCCTCTGAAACATAACTGTTACTTTTTATGGTTTTTTAATGATTTTTTTATGATTTTGCTCATGCTGTTTTAATCTTTATTATAGTTGGATATTTAAGATTAAATAAAAAATAACTATGAAGATGGAAAAGACAGTTTTATCTTGTCACAATCGATTTGCATGCATTTCTGGGAAACCTTGCAAAGATTGTTACTCCATTCTCAGAATTACTTCTGACATGTACAAATATAATTCTAATCTTGACTCCATTATAATTTCTTTTAAATGAACAATTTGATCCCAATGGAAAAAAGCTGTCATCCTCCAATGGGATCTATTGCTTGATCACAATCCCATTTGCTAATAAAGGGACTCTACTTGTGGACATGGTACTATCCAATCCAAAGTCCCGCAAACATTAAGGATTTCATAAGAGACTACCTTGCAAATACAGTTGTCATTTTTTTTCAATGCTTTTGTAACTTCAAGTGATTACTAAACAAATGGATGTAAGTCGAAGACTAACTGTATAGACTTTTTATTAATGTATTTTATTACTTAGCATTAATCTAAGTGAAGTTCATTTTAAGTTTATTCTAATTCAGGAAATGTATTGAGCTCAAATTTCAAGAGTATGTCCATTTTGATATTTCAAGTAGTTATTAAATCACACTGGACAAATTTGAATAACGTGTAACATATAGGTCAATGAATAACATTCATTTCCCAAGATTACATTCTAGATGTGGGTTAATCATCTACAGTACCTCCAAAAAATTGTCAATAGAATTATTAGCTCCATTAAAATCAGGTTTTACTCTTGTGCCTAGTTTTGTATGTATATCTACTGCAGTTACCAAAATATTTCAATCCCATGTCCAAAGGGAAAAAACCAAATAATTGGCCTAGACATTCAAAATGGGAAGAATACTGGTATTTAAAAATTAGCTTATGCCACTATCCACAATTCTATTTTGTTATCACATAGAATCAGCAAAACCAGTAAATTAGTAAAACTATAGAACCATTGTACCAGCCGATAATTAAAACCATTAGGTTTTAAATGTTTTGCAGAAATCCCATTTTCAAGATATTTCTGGAGGGATAGATGCAAATTACAAGGTAAAACACTGCTTCAGGTGCCTTCTCTCTTCATCTCATAAATGTTGGACATACTAAGCCTCCCCACCTAGGATAATGTGTACTGGAAGGGTCAGTACCTTCTAGATATCATCCTGAATTTTCTTATTAGGAAAACATGTAGGACTTGAAGAATTAAAAACCACAATTTTGACCTCCACTTAAAACATATAAAGCTCTGTCCACTTGTATTTATGACTGAAATGAAAATCTATACCTACTGCAGCTTCTGAAGTTTTCAAGGGTAGCCTCATCTAAAACAGACTGAAGTAATTATTTTAATGGTTGTAATTACTGTTTTTAGATGTTTGTTGGAACATGTTTAGATAAACTGAAGATAATTACCAGAACATCAATATGGCCATGCTCATAATAAATTGCCAGAAGTCCTTTTACTTCTAATAGATTTGTATTAGAGATAAATCCAGAAGGTATGCTATCTTTTTTCTCTATAACCTCATAATGGTCCCTCAGTTTAGGTCTCACCCTTTCAATCACTATTCAGGCAGAACACTTTGAAATCAACAGGAGTTGTGTGTGAGTAATGATTGTTGGACAGCAGCTTTTGTAATTGCTTTCTCACTCTTTGAACTCAACTCTTATCAAGTTTTTTTTTTTAAAAAAAGCTTGGCAATTGTTATTATAGGGTTTTACTTTACTAAGACTGATCACATCCGAAGCTGCCTCCCACTAAAGCAAGGAAGGGAAAGTTTAATTTGTTTTACTTGATGTTAGCTTGAGTCATAGTGACAGTCATTCTTCATGTTTGTCTTTGTGCCTTTTTCTGACAGCTGGGTAACTTTCAATTTAATTACTTCTGTTGTATACATATTTATCAAACACCACCAAGGGAGAATATGTCAAATGAACTCAGCAGTCATGTCAAAATGACATCTTGTCCTTTGACATTTTCTAATTAAGAAAAGGAAGTACACATTTTAATATGAGATGGGAGTTTATGCAGTGATGAACTTAAAAATTTAAAGTGAGCTGGAATGCTAAAAACTGTACAGCATGTATAGTGTGTAGTGCACTGCCTAATTCTTTACCTATTACTGCAGTATAAAAATAGTGAGACTGAATGAACCTTAATCCTAGTACAAGTATCTGAAATTTTTCTGAAGGATGAAGAATAGAAGCCAAGTATCCTTAGCAGATGTCTGCTTGTGATTAAATATTTCTACCCTTTTTTCATCACTAGTCTTTCCAACAACTCTTTCCAATAACATTTTCTCAGCTTTATACTTTTCCTACCTCCCAGCCCCAACAGCTAGGTTAAACTACTATACAGTATAATTTAAGACACCAGAATAAATCAGGGATAGGGAGATGAGAGTCTTTTAATATAGAGTATTTTTATTCAGTGCTTTCAGGTATTTGCATACTTTTATGATCTTCTTACTACAAATATAAATATAAAACACATTCACAAATATTCTTAAGAATCTCTGAAACTATTAAATAAAAATAAAGTTAATAGTATTCCCAGAATATAGAATACTGAAATGATTATCTTTAGTTGTGAGCAAATTGCTTATTCCATTTCCTTAATTATGAAATAATATGCAATTTTAACATTTCTTTTTCTAGTAAGCGATATAATGCATTTTCCTTATTTCCTAAAGCGTTTAAAAAGTGGGTGAATATGTTTATTTGAAGATGCCTTGCTTCGTGAGGTTTGATATTCCATGTAAACTGTATCATCTGCTCCAGACATGGAACTCATTGTGCCATAATGTCGGGATATCTAGAAAAGAACATAAAAAATTAATTTTATTTACTTATTTAAAGCATTTATTTATATACATTTATATTTCAACCAACTGAACCAACTTTGGGCTGCTCCCAATCAAAAATTAAAAGACATATAAAAAGAATTAAGAGACATATAAAAAGACATATAGAATAATTTCAAATGACATTTTAAAGGACATCATACCTTCTTTATCAATAAGACTACAGCCTTTTTCATGCAAAAATTCAGGTTACAATAAACAGGCGCTCACAGCTAAGTACTTTTGCATAAAAGTCACAGATAAAATGTCATTGGAGCATGGGCAGCTAGGATAAATCACTTTATAAATCATTTTAGGAACAAAATATATTCCTAAACAACCAAATTAGTATAGACAACAAAGTTTAATTTATGAAATGGAAAAGTTTTGGTGCAAAAGAGGGCTAGTGATAAACAGGCTGAAAGAAGGGAAGGGAATTCTACACATTTTTTCTTGGTATGCTGCTTTCCATGTTATTTTGGAAGACTTCAGGAGAAAACCTTTGTATGGTTTAGACAAGAATAATTATGAAACAATTCAGGTTACAAAAATGAAATTAATCTGAATTTTAAATAATTAGGAGTGCTACAGGCTGGCAGCATTTCTACTCAATGCTAAGATTATGACTAAGATTAAGAAAACCAAACTAATGCCATTTGATACAACAACTGACAAGTTGAAATGGCAGACAGCTTTTGTCATTTAGACTCATTCATCAACAGCAAAGAACGGTCAAGAAATATGTCATAGACTAGCACTTGGAAAAGATATTTCAGATACCAAGAAAGATCAGAATCTTATAAGCTATGGTATTATCTGTGACACTTTACAGAAGCAAAAGTTGGGATTTTAAAAGAAACACTAACCATAGCCCTCAGCCATTGAACAAGGTGGTTAAAAAATTGCCCATGTGATTGCTTTGTTCAAGAACTGCAATCTCTGCACTGAGTTGAGGCAGGTAATCCTCTTTTTTTCTAATGTTCCTGCAGCCTGCCAAAGGATTTTTCTCTCTCCTCCACACACAGGGGAAATCCTTTGGTGAGCTGCAGAAATAGAACTGAAATTTTGAAGATTTTAGCTTCTTTCTTGAAGTCCATGGAATTATTTCAGCTCCCCTCTATCGCCTCTGCTTGTAACCTTCCCTGGTGGCTTCCACCACTGGCTTTCTGGGGAAGCAGGCAGGAAAGGCTGCAAGTAGCATTCATACAATTGGCACTTGGCAACCAGTTGTAAATGTGAGCCAGTGGCCAAGCACCTGAAATACATTTTACAATGTCCAGAAGCACTTCATGGGCTGTAAAGTACCCATTCCAAGGCTGTCATAAGTTGAAGATCACCTGTATAGTGGTGTTGGGTACACTGTCAGAAAACCTGAAGGACAAAGGGAATTAATGCCATTGTAGCAGACAGGGAAAAGTCCTAGGCTATAAGCCAAAACATTCCCTTGAGTGATAAATGTACAATTGTAAAAAGATTATTGGAGAACTATATTTCGTTTTCCTGCTAATATAAAATGTTCTTCGTTATGTGATTTAAATGATGCCCAACTTACAATACTGACTCTGGGGTCTTGACATAATAATAACTACTTGCCTGAGATGACTTTGAGCCATATTCTCCTGCAACCACCTCTTCCTCAGCATCCAGGTCAGAAGCTTGTAAAACTTTTTGGAGGAGCTGCTGCTGCTCTTCTTTGGATGAAAACATAAGTTCTTCCTCTTCCATACCTGCAAGTTTAGTAATTACCTGGAAACAGGAAGAGATAGTATTATTCAATTCCATTCTTTACTATTGTTTGGTCTCAAGGGTAAAGTGCCTATACTGAGTCTTATTTGGGAAATTTTAAAAGTTGAGAAAGATTTTAGTGGGAAACTAGCTCATACTGCATTTGCTTCTAGGGCATGGTTCATACTATCAGCTTTTCAAATGCTGCAGCACACTAGTTATTTTGTTACTTTTTTCCTTGATTTTATTTCCCTGATTAAAATGAAGGAAAAAATGAAAGATTACACTACATCACTACACTTTCACTACATCATCCTCTATGAGCCCCAGATTTTATGGATTTATGGACAATCTAAGTGCCTTTCTTAAAGTACATTTAAGTGTGAAAGTAAGATCTACCCCTATGGTGACCATTTCCTATTTGCTTATGGGAACGCATATTATCATTTCTTGTACATACTGCCATCATATTCTGAAAAAGGTAGAACAGTATGTGTTATCGGGGTTACTCTGAGAAAATCCCCTTTTGCCAATGGATCATTGATTCAAGGAGCTGTAAAATGCCCATGATCTAACATGCATAAATAAATTATCTGCAAACTTACTTTCTTCCTATAGGTGTTTTATAATTTAAAGTTTAAATATTCATTTCAATAAGCACCTAATCAGGAACATCATGATTTTAGAAACAGATTATATAATGGCAAAATAATGAAAAAAAGTGTTCAATATGTTGATGATCTCACTGACTGTGTATTATAGGTCCAAATTTTTGAGAATTCTACAAATCCAAAATAATCAAAGATTCTATTTTTTATCATAATACAATTTTTATCAGAGCGTGTCTAGCTTTACAGACAGTAATAATTTGGCATCTGATGAAGTGAGCTATAGTTCTAAAGAGCATTTTCTTTTAATATTAATTAGTTTGAAAAGATGGTAGACTTCCAGGTTTTGGTATGATAATAGTTAACTATGCATAAAATAAATCTGAACTGTCTGGGTAATTCACTAGATACAAGTTATAAATAGGGCCCTTGCGTCCTAATAGAAACCACAAGAGTACTTTATACTTTTCCACAAGAGTATAATCTTATCATCTAATATATTTATTTTATGCATTTGCCCTAAAAACAGCTGTTGTGAAGACATTAAATGCACTAAACTTAGGGCTCTTTGGAGTTTAGGGACAGGTTTTTTTTAAATTTAATTATCTTACCACCAAAAAAAGGAGGCATCAGTACTTCAAAACACAGTATAGGTTTATACTAAGAATCTAAGTGGAATCTAAATATGCAGCCCTTTTGTACTATCTCCTTATTTGGATCAAATTCCTAAAAAATTCCAAAACTATAACATAAAATAACAAACTAGTAAAGTGTATCTCTTAGTTCTTTTGGTACAACCATTTTTTCTTAATATAGCTAAAGAATTTTGGTATATAAATATAATATTTGACTTACGACCACAGTTGGGCCCAAAATTTCTGTTGTTAAGTGAGACATATATTTAAGTGAGTTTTGGCCCATTTTACTACCTTTCTTGCCACCGTTAAGTATATCACAGCAGTTGATAAGTTAGTAGTCCAGTTGTTAAGTGAATCTGTGTGCTGATGACACCCAACTCTATATTTCCACTCTTGGTGACCCAAGTGATGCTGTGACCATCCTTTCGTGTTTTCTGGAGGTTGTGGGAGCCTGGATGGGGGACATCAGGCTTCGACTGAACCCTGTTAAGATCAAATGGGATCCAGGACTTTGTCATCTTTGACTCTGGATGGGGTGGCACTGCCCCAGAAAGACCCGATCCGCAACTTGAGGGTTCTTCTGGACTTGCAACTCCTGCAATCACAGCTAAGACAGCCTTCGCACAACTTCATGTTGTGCACCAGTTGCGGCCTTTCCTGGACCAAGATTCTCTGCTTTCAGTCATCTAGTCCCTAGTTATTTCACAGCTGGACTATTATAATGTGCTCTACATCGGGCTACCCTTGAAGAATATTTGGAAGCTACACCTGGTGCAAAGTATGACAGTGTGGGTAGTTTGGGGGGCTCCAAGAATGGCCTCTATGAGACCACTGTTCCATGAGCTGCATCAGTTACTAGTCTGCTTCCAGGTGTAATTCAAGGTATTGGTGATCACTTTTAAAGCCCTTCATGGCATGGGTCCATGCTACTTGAGGGATCATCTCAACCCACTAGGATGGCCCGTACCATTTGTGCTGGCAGACAAGATATGCTGCAGGTTCCATCAGCCTGATTATTCCGGCTGATGGGTTCGGGGGGCGGACGACGGGGACTTTGCTGTTGTTGCTCCTGCCCACTGGAATATCTTGTCCCCCCTGATGTGAGGTTAGCCCCAACCCTATCTTTTCATAAGGGCCAAAAGATGTGGCTCTGCCAGTCGGCTTGGGGTGCCAGTCGGGGAATTTTAACTTTTTATGTTTTAATTAATAGCATTTATAACTATAAGCCGCCCAGAGATATCTTGTGGTAAGATGGCCATTACATTTTACAAATAAATAATAAATAAAGCTGGGTTTCCCATTGACTTTGCTTGTGAGGTCACAAAATATGACCTTGGAACGTAGCAATGGTCATAAATATGAACCAGTTGCCAAGCATCTAAATTTTGATCATATGATCATGGGGTTGCTACAAAGGTTGTAACTATGAAACATGGTCATGTCACATTTTTAAGTGCTGTTGTAACTTTAAACAGTCACTAAACACCATACTGTTGTAAGTTGAGGACTACCTGTATACAATTTGTCCTATAGGCAGAAACATAATTACAATGCAACAGCTGTTTCCCTTAAAATAATAAATTTAAAATATTTAAATTTTCAGCCACTATAATAAAAATATTGGACCTCTAGTGGCACATTGCTTAGACTGCAGTACTCTCAAACTCTGCCCAGTCTGGAGTTTGAACACAGTTTAAACAACAAATATTTGAACATTAGAACTTAAAAATTAAAGCCTGTTCTTTGTTCTCAATTCTGCAAATTACAAATAACAGAATTACCTTAAAGCTGTAACCCTGATCTACTAGAAACCTTTGACGCTTCGTAGAGTATGCCATTTCTTGAGTGTCCTGAGAGACCAAAGAATAAAAAAAGGCATTGTATTCCTCTGCAATCATTCCTGACGGGAAAAAAATAGCAATGGAAGATTAGCTCACATCAAAGCAAGTCAAAAATTTCAAGAAAAAACAAGTTTTGTTGGTTTTCTCTTGTCTACTGTGAGAGGAAACCCTTAACTCTTTACCGTGCCTATGCTTCCTAGCTCTGTACCTGGTTTGTACTGCTTCTTATATGACAGTATATTAAAGTGCAAGCTTGATAAAGGCGCAAACTAAGGGGAAATTTGTAATCTGCATTGTGTAATACTTAATAGTTGCAAATTAATCAGTTTTGGGGCTATTTTGGACATAACTGTCTGGGACATTACGAGAATATGGAACCAAAAAGTGCAGACGACAAAGAGTTTTTCAGATAAATGCCAAGCAACAGGATGGCACGGTGAAATGAGGAAGTATCCTGGTAAGATTCCAGAGGAACAGAAGAGATGAGAGAAAAAGAGTATATAAGGAGTTTTATCTCAGATCATGGCCACTGGCCATGCTTATTCCTTGCTGGACTCAGACATGACAGTGGACCTCATTGCAATGGGTTGTTAGTAAGCATTATCTTACTGAAATGTTGTTATGTTATGATGGCTGTTCATGTTCCAAATTGTTCATGAAATAAACCTCTGATCTCAAAGTAGGTTTTATTGCCTGTGGTTTGTCTGTGTTTCTCTTTTACTGAATTATTTTTACGACACTACAAAAATTTCTTCCTAGCATGCTATAATTAAGTATACTGATAACAATATTCAAATTTAAATTTATAGATTAGCAAAAGAAAACCCCAAACGTTTCTCAGCTGTGTTTTTTTTTCTGTTAATGCAAAATGCAGCTGATCTGGGACATGACCTATAGCAGAATGTATTGCAGCAATTTTGCTCTCTGAAGAGGAGCAGCAGCCTTCACCCTGAGCAGAAAATCCTATCATTTCTCTAGTAAAGTGGACATACTTCCAAACAAAGCATTTTTCAGCCTCTCATCCCCTCCAACTTTTTTTAAAATAAAATATATGGTGTCCATCTGAATCCAGAATGCCTCCTTGAAAAAAAGATATAGAAGACATTGTCTCACTTTTCTTACATTAAAAGAATGCTTTAGAATTATAAAAAGTTCGATGGAAAAGGAAGCCCCCAAGATAGCAAACCAGGTATCTATATATAAAGCTGACACTCACATGTCAAATTGGGGGGCCCATTTTTAAAGAATAGAAAGGATGTAATTTATCAGATACAGTTTGCTAGCATAATTTTAATGTTCTTAATTTGGAAATTTGTGGAATACAAAAAATGCATTTTATAAGTTCTAGTAAGTTTTTAAAACAATTACCCTTTGTTGTAATTTAACTGCTGACAGAGGCTTAGTTTTGGGTCTAGAAGAGGAAGGAGTACTTTGCACTAAAACCCCTGGGAATCCTTTAGCAAACAGGCAGAAAGCGCTTATATGCATTAGTCTTAAAAACACACCTCATACTCATGTCAGATGTCATTATTGCTAAATTTATACTTTGGCTGGTCAAGCTGCTAATGGAATACCTCAATCACACTGTTTCCTTTGGGGTAGTGTGGCATGAAAGAATATTTGTCCAAGCCCTAATCCCATTGTAAAATAATACTACAGTGGTATTAGAATTTTGGCAAAGCTGCCATCAAAGTTCAATCAGAATAACCAGTCTCTTTAACATAAGATCTACTACATTGTATCTTTAAAAAACTAAAAATATTAAGTGTTGGGAGGAATGATTAGGCAGGAAAGAGAAAAGGAGCAATGACTTCCTATTGAAGTGCTTTTTATAATTACTTTTGAATTTTGTCATAACCTGTGACCTTGAGCTGACAGTGACAAAACAGGACAACAGAAAATTGTATGTGCTTAGCCAGCTAAATAACATTACTTTCATGCTTCAGTGTTCCATTAAAATTACAGAAACTTGCAACACAAGACTCAATTTACCTTTTTTGGCTCTTAAGACTCGCCCTAGCCTCTGAGCCTCCTGTCTTCGAGAGCCCCCATGAGATGAAATCTGAATGAGAACATTGGCTTCTGGCAGATCAAAAGATGTATCACCAACCTGTAAATGCATAAGCACCCTTTAGGAAACAAACTATAACGTAGATAACCAAATCTTAGTAAGACACATTAGCTTGTGGCCAACAATGAAAAACATATGAATATGAAAAAGATTAAAAATAATTTACAGATTATTCAAAATGAGTGCTGAACCTAATGTAGTCCAATATCAAACAGAGCAGCATGGATTACCTTGGAGATAAAGATGGTATTGATTTTGGGATTGTGTTTGAAATTCTGCAGTATTTGCATTCTCTCCCCCTGTGCTGTAGGCCCATAAATGTAAGGTCTAAAAGAGACAATATGCATACATATAAAGGATCAAATAGTTATATTTTACTTCCTGGATTCAGGTACATTATACAATCTATTATATTATGATTAAAAAGATAAAAAACCACAGCAATATGCTTTCACTATGTAATTAAACTACTTTTATAGAAGAACTTTCCTTTTTTTGTAGCATTTTTCTCTCTTGTTTATTTTTAGTTCACTGAATTAGTCCCACTCATTTGGAGACAAATTCATTCTGTCAGACACCCCTCCGGCCACAGAAATAAATCCTGACAGTTGTAAAATGTTATGTTCTTGATGTGTGCCTCATGACTCAACAGATCAGTGGGCGGAATATATCTACTAATCCTACATGAAAGGAGAGAAGCAGCTGTTAAAATAAAAAAGGTATTTTCTTCAGCTGAACCAGTGAACTTGTACTTAACAGCTGTGTTCTTCTTTCCCCTTTCCCCTTATATCTGATCACATATAAATTGCACTTTTGAATTAAATTGTTCTGGTCTCAAAATAGTTCACTGAGAGCTACAGTGAAAATTAACAATCAACATATCTTTTGCGGCAACATAAATAGATGCTACCAGAGCAAGGTGGAAGTATTCAATCAAAGATACAATCTAAGATGTCTGATAAGTTCATATGATATATTGAAATAAAATAAGAAGCTAACACAATTCAAAGTAAACATGTTTAAAAACATGCATCAAATTTGAAATATATAAATATCCAATAGAAGAGAAAGCAAAGAAAAAGAAAGAAAACTTAATATACATGAATATAAGCTTGAAAATAAATCATAAGCTGAGAACTGATGGTCTCTCTGAAACTTCCATGGAAATATGCTACAATATTAATGAAATAATTTAAAATATGCTCAAAGAAGGCTTTGAAAATTATTCCAGAATACAAAGCCACCTTAGGAGATTTAGGTTCAAATTTTAGCTCACTGATAAAAGCTCATTAACTGAGTTTGGGTTGGTGATTCTCTTTCATCCCAACCCACTTGACATAGATATTGTTGCAGAAAAATTTGGAAGAAAAAACTGACAGGGAAAATATATATGTGCTGCCTCTGGTACTGGAGGAAACATAAGAAAATCAATCTAACAAGTAACAACCAAAATGTTCTTGTTACAACAGCAACTACTATTTAAAAGAAACAAAAAACACATTACTACATAAAACAATCATACTGTAGCATTTTTCCTTCGAGTTTCTATCTTGAATGTATATTCTGCCTCTGATGCTAGACTTGAATAATGGATTTAAATACTGCAACTGCAAACTATTCTGGCAGTGAAAGTACCTTGCTCTTCTGCTGTATAGGTTTTTCAAATGCTAACTAGTTAAATTGAATTATGTGGCATTGGTCTTTAAAATGCTGAATAACACATGGCAAATTGTGACCAGCACTGATGATGTTACCTAGTTTGGGTAATGAAACATCTCGCAAGAAAACAAGCAAGCTCAGAGAGCACCGAGGATGCCTTACAATCTTACATGGTAAATTATTGCATCAACTTATTATTTAATGTTCTTCTCAATCAGAAAATAATTATTTGTTCTTCAGTCACTAAGTCATGTTCAACTTTTTGTGATCCCATGGACAAATAGCATGCCCTTCCTCCACTATCTCCTGCAATGGGCCTAAATTCTTGTTCACTGTGTTGATACTATCTAACATCTCATCCTCTGCTGTCCCCTTACACAACAACAAAACCAAGAGATTCTTAAAAGCCTATTCGTATTGCAGTGTTTTAAGTTAATGTCCCCATTATCAAGATTGAATTTAGATTGAATTTACATTATCACATTATCATAAAACAGCTTTAGAGACCTTTTCATAAATTTCTCAACAATGAAATATTCCTACTGCATATACGATGCAAAGATATTATATATTACAATTTGGAAGATCAGGAAAGTATATGAGGTGCATGGATCCCTTAGTTGTGACCTTTGGAGACCTTCCAAAAGTAGCCACAGAATTCTCATTACTTATTGGGGCAAAAAAGGAAATTGCCTGAGGATATAGATTTGTCCAATTACTGCCCCTTTCTGGAATGCAGTCCTTAACACTTCAAAGGGCCAGTATATATCCCTTTGCTTGCAAAAAAATTACGCATTTGTACTTATATGTAAATAGATTGTTGATAATTGAGTGCAAGAGCCTCGTGTAACTTGCATCTGTTGTTTTTTCTTATTGAGGAATTCTACCAATGAGAAAATTTTATCATTTCTGAAGCAACCTCAAGAAGCACTGTAGCTTATCTGTCAAGAATTCTTTCTAACTTTTTTTGTCCCTGGTTGACAATTAACTCCTGTAAGTTCATGCAAATGAATATATAAAAAGTAATAAGTAGTACTATTGATTTTAAGGATTTAATATGCAAAGTCACAAACCTGGAAGAAGTCTTTTTTTGCTTCTGATATTTATTAAACACACAAATATCTATAATTCATTAATACTTACTTGCCCAATCTAACAGCATACTCCTTCAAAGCAAACACATTGTCAGCAAAGACTATGATCTTATCATTCCTTCGTTCATGGCATTTAATCAGGAACTGGCAAGCCCTAAATTTGTTTGGGTTCATGGTATAGAGCAATATCCGCTTCTTTGTTTTAATAGCTACATATTCTCTGTAGAATTCAGGAGACATTGGACACCAAACCTACAATTATAACCAATAAAGTACAGGCTGTATTAAGAATAGCTCAATAAGTTTACAGCAGAAATGTGACAGGGATAAAAGTTTACAAGATTACCCTGTATGATAAGAAGAAAGTATTTATGCTAGCAGGAAAGATAAGACAAGGGCAGATATTTGCAGCCTTATTAAAAAAAACATTTCTGATTATTTAAAAACCCATATAGAACTATTATCAACTTCTGATTCTATCCCTAGCAGCAACTGACTAAAGAAAAGATGTTTCTTTTCCCTGTTGAAAATTTTTCCCTCAGATAGAAGATTCAGGAAAAGTGTGAATTATGGAGTAATGAACTGCAACAGGGAAACAAGAAGACTGAAATTATAAAAAACAACATGAAGACAAATCAAGCCAGGATTTCTAAAACAAGGCACATGCAGAAATTTTAGTTCCAGTATCAAATGATCCAGAGTTTTATACCCCAATTGTAAGTTAACTGAGGAAAATATTGCTGCTGGAGAATATATTTGCTGAAGTCTCTGTAGCACAGCTAGCACTGAGCAAAACATTCCTTACCTCAGCACACTGGACTTTAGCAATATAACCACTATTTTGCAATTCCATCCAATTGGCTTCATAGAGTTTAGGCCCAATCAGGAAATTCAGGTCTACAATTTTGTCATCTTCTCGGACAAGAGTGGCTGTTAATCCAAGCTTGCAATGGGCCTGAACAATAGTGAGCACACGCCTGAACATTTTTGCTGAAAGAATTGTGCAAAAAGGAATGAGATCCTGTCTGAGAAATATTTTAAAAATATAACACTATGTTAATTTTTCATGCCATAAGTGATATTAAATGAAGAACCACAAGAGTGGCTGTTAATCCAAGCTTGCAATGGGCCTGAACGATAGTGAGCACATGCCTGAACATTTTTGCTGAAAGAATTGTGCAAAAAGGAATGAGATCCTGTCTGAGAAGTATTTAAAAAATATAACACTATGTTAATTTTTCATGCCATAAGTGATATTAAATGAAGAACCATTTGAGAATCATACTGAATTAGAATCTTACATTAAAGTTAGATGTGTTTAATGGATTTCCATGCATATAATCTATATGCATCAGTTTTGTAGCAACAACTTAACAGTATTCTTCATCCAACTCATTTCACAAATTAAATCTACAGAAATTAAATTAAACAGTATCAATTCAGGCAAATCATTGCTAAGTTGGCTAATATCTAAATCCATGCACTAGGTTTAAACCATACTGGGATTTTTTTTATTCTCCACCAAAAAATAAAAAACTGCAGCAATTATCATTAAGTACAATAAAAGATGTATTTTTGATGCTTAAAAATGCATCAAACTGCAGCATTCATGCTATTGTTACTGTTTCATTTTACATTAGATTCATTATAAATGTATACTACTTTTTACAAAGCAGTATTGTCAACGTATTTCAAAATAATCAGGGTTCCTATAATTCAGTTATGAAACCTGGGCTGGGGCAAAAGCAATAGCCTTTAAGAGGGTCTTTACCAGGTATGGTATGCACTTCATCAAGGATCATCAGACCCCATTCTTGGCTCTTCAACCATTCCATCACCCTCTCTGCTTCCCATGACCTCTTCGTTGTGTGCCCCAACATGGAATAGGTGCTGATAGCTATAGAACAGCCAATTGGCTTGTCTTTGGCATCAGAAGTAAATCGGCAGATTTGGCTATCGTCAATGGTAGACCACATCTTGAACTGGGCTTTCCACTGCTCCACTGAGACAGCGGAATTACCCAGTACAAGGCACCGCTTACGGACAGTGCAAGCTGCTGTTACACCTACAAGCGACTTGCCAGCACCTGTAGTGAATGAAACAAAAATTTGTCAAAACTTTGCATGGAATGTATTACTATCCAGAGAATAAATAATAGAATATTGAGCCAAATATGTCCCTCTTAAAAGAGCTTTGAAAACTCTAACCTGGTCCCTATAAAAAAAGAAAGACACCAACATGGTCTGAAAGCAACTCACACCACACTGTTGCTGAAACTAATTATAAACTATGTATAAACTGTACAGAAATCTGTACGAGATTCTCAGAGTGCAAGAGGAAGAAATAAATATGGATATCCCACAAAATAAATGTTACTTTTACCAGTATTCTCTCAGAATCTAATCTGTCAGGTAATTTAAAAAAAAACATTCAATATCAGCAGAGTCCACTCACCACAAGGCAAGACAATAACCCCAGATCTAGCACGACCATTCCCAAACATTTTCCTCAAACTCTTCTCCTGGTATGGTCGGAGAACAGCTGTGGGTTTCAAGTCTATGTTAATATCTGGATTCACAGAATCATTTCTAAAATCATATTCAGCAAGCAGAGGGTACTCCAGATGAATGCAACGCTTCTGAAGCTCTTCAATCATTTCCTAGAAATGGAAACAAAAAGGTAGGAGGGTCTTTTGCAGTTCTTCTGATCTGTTATTCATTTAAAGCTATAGGAAAATACTGAATTTTTTCCATAAAGTTTGAGGTATCAAGTTGCACTTTAACTTTCTTCTAACACACACACATTAGAGCAATGGATCATCAGTCACAAATCCAGAAACATTCCCCATACTCTTGAAAAGATTTCATGAGTCACAAAAGAAATGCTTTACAAATATTTAAGCAAATATATTTATGTATTGTACTGATATAAAAAGTTCTACACCCTCTTAATTTGAAATTGTTAATTTGGTTGAATTGCCGTATAGCGTCTATCATGTTCAGTGCTTATATGTATAATAGATGTTCCTATAGTGACTATGTGGGAAGAAACACTTTATTATTATGGCTTCACATCTTAAGAACAGAGGATGTAATGCAAAGTGGTGTCTGTTGAAGTCCTATAGGAATGCTGAATATCTAGAACTCGTGGTGGAGCAGATAGCAATAGCAATAGCAATTAGACTTATACACCCTTCTCTAAGTGGTTTACAGTGTCAGCATATTGCTCACAATAATCTGGCTCTTCATTTTACACACCTCGGAAGGATAGAAGGCTGAGTCAACCTTGAGCCAGTGAGATTCAAACTGCCAGATTGCAGGCAGCTGGCAGGCAGCAGAAGTACCCTGTAGAACTGCAGTCTAACCACTGCACCACCATGGCTGTTCATATTCATACCTATGAATTTTCTATGATGTTTTAATGGAAGCAATGGAAGCAATCAGGAAGGAGACTAGTATCACAGAAAAAGTCAAGGATTTCTTCCTTTAATTTCCTATTAAAGTTACCTACAAATTGTGTATGTAAAAGCCACACTGTATTTTATGTGTTTGTAAATGTTATTGAAATTTTTAAAGAATAGGACTAATACAAACTACAGAATAAGAAAGATGCAAACATAGTAGAAAAATAAGGATATAAAGCGGTTTCCAATCTTCTTTACAGTAATTTAAGCACAATTATAAATTGACCTTTCCCTCTATATTATGACTTTCTTCTTTCTCCATTCCATCCTAACTAATCATCAAAACAATAAATCATAAGTTTATTTTTTCTTTTTTATGCAAAAAGTCAAGGGATTTCCAAACAAGTCAATTTGACCATTCTACTATCTTCATCAATAATTCTCATCATAGATATTGCCAAATCTGTCCATCTTTGCACATACTTTGCTGCAGTTATCATATTTAAAAACAATATTCCATGACTTTTTTCCAACTATTTATTCATCGATCCCAAGAAGAAAAGTTCTGGTTTTAGTTGTATATTAATCTTTAAAATCCTCTAAATCAATGTATGCATTTGAACCCAAAATTTTCGAGCTATTTCTACATCCATCATATAATGACATTTCCTGTTCACATTACCAACATAAATTTAAAGTGCTTTTATGCATTCTAACTAATTTTTCTGATGTTATGTCAATAGTATATCATTTTATAAAAATTATCTTTAAGATTATAACTCAATATAACAGTATAAATTTCAATTTTTTTCAATCACATATTTCTCATCTGCCTATTATAACCAAAATTTTTAACCCACTTTATCATATATTCCTTGACATAAATCTTGACTTTATAATGTCACACATATATCGATGCCATCCACATCTTGGGTCATCTTCTTCTAACTATAAAAGTATTCTATTTGTCAGCAGCATTTACTCTTTCATCCAAACCAAACAATAAGCTGTGAAATACAATTTCAAATCGAGGAAACCTGGACTTTAGCAGAAATTGGCAGAGCTTAAATACAGTATATATCCTTTTGTCACTGTTTAAATCAGGGGTTGCCAACCTTTTGGACCTCAGGGACCACCAAACTCATAATTTTAAATCCCACGGACCAGAGACCCTGGGGAAATCCCCAAAAAAAAGTCTGCAGGAAAATTCACAGGATATCATCTTCAGCTCCGTTCTCAGGAGAAAACAGAGAGAGTGGGGGGGGGGGGGGGCCTTTTGGCTGCACACAAGGAAAGCAGCAGAAGTCTTTTTTTCTCTCCTCCAAACTCCACAAGAAATGAGTCTTTGCCAGCGCAGCCTCTTGGAGCAGGATGCCTTGCAGGGTCCCAAAGACTCATTTCTGGCAGAGTTTGGGGGAGAGAAGGACAGACTTTTGCTGCTTTCCTTGCGTGCAGCCAAAAGCAGGAGAAGAAAGAAGCAGAAAGAAGCAGCATGGTGGCCAGGTGAGGTGCATGGGGTATGTGGGGCAAATTCCCCCCTCCACCCTTTTCCCCTCCCCTCACTACCCTGTGTTGTTTGCAATGCGATGCAAGCCTTGTGTTCCCGCAGGCCATGTGGGCGGTTCCCACGCAGCCTGGATTAATTGCTGTGGGTGGTGCTTTGGGGGTGCCATTTCTCTGCGGACCACAAAATTTTTCTCTGCGGACCACCAGAGGTCCCCAACCCACTGGTTGGCAACCAGTGATTTAAATGACACATCAATTGCCAAAATAGGTAGTAATAGAACCAGTCCGCGTGAGAGGTGAGTCAGTGGGGCAATGCACACGTGCGGGTGCACCAGCCCACCACTCCTGCAAGTGGAGATGTGGGCATACATGTGCGCCGCAATGTCACTAGCGTAGCCCAGTTCTTCTCTCCACCAAACCAGGCCACCAAACCACAAATGTTAGGAACTGCTAAAACACAAGCATCATTCGAGGTAAAATATTCACCTTTATCACAAATTCTCACCAACAGTGACAAAGATGGCAGTCATAAAGCAAATGCTATGGTCATTAAACAAACACATTGTTTGCTATGGGACATTTGTTGTTGGAAACTAAGTAAACACTAGTTTCTGGTAAAAATTTGTAATTCATGGTCACATGTCTGTGGGGCACTGCAAACATCCAAAAATCCAGGCTGGTTGCTGAGTGCCCCAAATGTGATCATGTGACCACAGAGGGTGTGGGGGTGGAAATTAGAACTTTGAAACTGGGTCAGAAGTCAGATTTTTAGGGTCTATCAGAACTTTGAATGGTCCACTATACAAGTGGTCATTAGTTGAGGGATACCAGTATTATAGTTTTTTTGTAAAAATCTACCAACTATCTACATTCTTTAATATTAAAACAAAATTCACACAAAAGTCCAATCCATCTGCCTGAGTTCCAATATTTGAAAACCACTTTTGCTAAAAAAAAATAATTCAAAATTTACTGCCCCCTTACGGATTTAATCATTTTTACGCTTTTTGCTAGAGATTTAATTCCTTTCAAAGTTTTTTTTCCTCCTTATTTAATCCAGAAAGAGTGTTGACTCACCAACTGCTTTTGTCCTATCCTTCTAATCAGAAGATCTAACTATAAATTGACTACATCCAATAGTGTTAAACAAAATGAAGATTGCAATGCAATTATGAGCCTAACTGAAGTCCCTCACTTCCAGCTGCTCAACTCACAAGTTGACCACAAAAACCTCAATCCCTGCTGTCTACTGACAAAGAGCAGTTGGGGGAGTAGAGATGGGATTCTCATGGTCTTTCCTTATCTGGAGAACTCTGCCAATATATGCTATCCACACTCATTCAGGGATAAGTAATTTGCCAAGGAACTTCACCTAGTTATATTGTATTTTCTAAGCTGCTTAGAATCAGCATATTAAAACCACAGGAATAAATATATTTTGCTAAACAGAAACAAATTATGTAAACATGCTTTTACTCCATTCCATAGATGAGCCTTCAATTTTCACATCACCACAGAAACTAGAGTGTTTGGGATTGATTCCTTTAATGGACAATGTTGTCGTTATACAGCACTACTAAGACTGGATTTAGCTGTAAACTGAAGTGTAAATTTGAAGGAGGGCTAGGCACAGAGATACAAAAGTACTTAAGGAAATAAAAGATTTAAATTGTCTGACATCTCACATCAAAAATAAGATGTTTTTATTGTATAAGTTCATATTCCATATGCTTTTATTAGGATAGTAAGGTATAAGTAAATTCATATATTTACCTGCTTCACTTCAAAAGATACAGTTTGAGTTTCCTCTTCCTCTTCTTCATCTTTATCCATTTGTTCATAAAATTCAAATAAGTCAGCAGGAACATCTGGTTTATTCTGACCGTCTGCCCCTTGAGAAGTTGATGGCCCGCTATTTTCACCAGACTTTGAAATCTAAAGCAGATAGATTTCTCAATGGAGCAGAGGAAAATGAGGCCAGATAGAAGCTCATTTTATCATTGGGATAGGAAAACAACACTTAAACAATGTATGAAAGCAGACTGTACAGATACAATAAACTGTAAATAAAGCAACCCCTCCCTAAGGATTAATAGTAGTGACAACAGACACAAATGTATGTGGCATATTAACCATACTGAAAAGGAATTCTTATAAAGTTTTTACATAATTGTTCAGCTATAGTTAGAGTAAAGCAAATAGCTCCCACACTACATAAAGGCATGGACCATAATCTCAACATACTGCAGATTTGCTCTTGAATGTTTCTGTTATGAGTTCAGTTTCTTCCCCCTCTGCATTTCTCAGGCGACACTCCCTAATAACTTGGTCCTGAAGAAGTTGCTGAATGACTTCAGGGTGGGTGCTTTCTACAAAATACCTAGCAAGTATTAAAAAAAAAAGAGGGGGGGGGGGGAGAATTATACAAATAATTAATTCCACAAATGTTATAAATTTTTACCATTTTAACATCTTCCGTTTTAGAAACATGAGTTCCTGTAGGTTTTTGCAATTTATTCAGGTAATGTGCTATGCAGCTGGAGAAACACAAAGAATTTATATCTGACCATAATCCTTAGAGACAATGACCACATTCATAAGTCAGAAACTACACAAGTCACAATTTGAATGAGTGTACACTGGTTAGCTTTAGTTATTCTGTTATTTGGATTTGTTGCATTTTGGTTTTAGTTCCTTTGTTTTTTTCTGCAACCAGTTCACATATTTGTTTGTTTGGACCCTATCTATCTGATTCTATTTTACTCCTGTTTGTGTAGACATTGGCCCTCAAAAAGTTGCTCTTACTTTAACAAGCTATATTTGCATATAGTTCTGATCTAATCCAGTAAACAACTTATGAAAAACCAAGATTGTTAACTGAGATAGTATCAAAGCCAAAACTAATAACATGACACACATTTGAAAATGCCATACTCCATAACTCAGGGGAAAAAATCATGCAAGTAATTCTTTACCTGTTATGCTTCAGGACCAGCTTCACCTTTCCATAACTAACAGTACATAGCTACAAAATAATAATATTAATTAGAAATAGATGCATAAAATATATTTGTATTACACATAGAATTAGGTGACAACAGAAAACTTTCAGCAAGCTATTCCACAAGAAAAGGAAATCAAAACTAAAGGTTTGGCTGCAATTCATAAAAAATACCCTGAATATTTAGACCATACGATTTCATATACTTCCCCCCAACTTAGCATTCTTTAAATGCATTATATCAAAATGACTATCACCCAGATGGGGACAATTGGTGCTATAATACTTCTGGAGACCCAAAAGTTGGAAAGGCTAATTTAGCAAAACTCATCATAACAACTCTCTAAAGCAGGTTTTGCTACCTGTGCACGAATTTTAAAATCTATTGCCAAAGAAAAAGAACATTTATTGTGCAATGAACAGGATTCACAGTGTTCTTCTAGAGGGTATTATCAGGGTTAAAGAAAATATTTGGAAGGTCATAAATGGTCAAAAGTTTGTTTTCATAATATGATCCTTGTAAACTCCTGGCTGTGTTCCGTAACAGCAGGTGGGAGAATTGGTTTATTACCATGAAAAAAAAAACCAAGCTGTTTCTGTCATTTACATCTATCTTGAATCAATCTTTCTCTGGTTGCATCCCAGGTTTTTTTGTCTCCCTTAATTATGCTGAAGTAAATGATCAAATGCAAATACTAAAGTATATGGCATATTTCTCTTTTAATTTCCAAAATAATTCATGCCATGAAGCTCTGTAACAAAGGCAGTACCTCTTATTATGTTTCCCACCCACCCCCAGCATCCAGCCCTTTATATCCTGAACATACAATTAGATAATGAATGAGTGTACCTTAATAAACTGAATGATTCCATCGGGCACACCAGTTTTACTCAGCTTTTGTAGATATTCAGTGATATCGCTGGTTTGCAAACCCACACTGACAGCAGCATACAGGGAATAAGCAGTCAGTTTATATTCATGGACGTGAGTAGGTCGACAAACTGGCTCAGCAATAGCCACAAGAAAATCCTGGGCATACTTGTAGACAGGTGAAAAGGCTTCTAAGAAGACATGGCCATCAGGAGCCTAGAGAAGAGACAAAAACTGTGAAGATGACCAAAATAACTACATGTACCAAAGCTGTTAAGTATGAGGCAAGGAAAAGAATTTCACCCTAATCAATTCAATGTTGTGAATGTATTTGTATTTCTGTTTTAGTGGAGAGATGAGGGGACATGTGGCCTTTTAGATATTATCAAGTTACAACTCGCGGCATCTCTCATTATTGGTTGGTTATGCTGGCTGAGGTGGCAAGATTCTTGAACCCAGTCATTAAAAAGATGCATCTCCAAACCATCTGGAGAGGACAGTGATATTTTTCATAAAATTACCCAAAGAATGAATAAAAAGTTTGATGTAACATCCCAGAAAATTCATCCACAGAGCAAAAGTATTCCTTCTGCCTGCATGGGTGCTTTTTTGTTATTAATCCCCTCTCTCCCCCCCACATCCCCCACCATACAAACACAAAGAAGCAGGCATCTCATCATAATAGAAGGGCCTAAGTTACAACAAATATTCCTTCCAGCTCCTTTAAAATAGATGAATATGTATAATGTGAAATACATAGAGAACTTGGGTCTTATTCAGCACATGAATCAAACAGGTGTGGAGATACTATTTATATGCCAGCTGACAGGTCCACATGTAGAAGCGATAAGACTAGGAAACAATAAACTATGTTTCCTTTCTTTGAACAAAACTTTTTTTTTGAAAAGTAATGCATCTAAAAAGACTTACCACCCACAATGGTCGTGAGGAATGATCAGCTTTGAGTGGCATCTGGTTCCTGTAGTCTTTTGCACCATATTCATCAACTTTGGTCCCAGAATCTTCCACTTGCTTCCCTGCAGCTGACGGAACTGCTTCTTGGGACTCTTTGCCTGTAAGGTCATATTCTTCTTCCTCTTCTTCCTCATAGTGGCGTTTTTTCGATTTCTTCTTATCTGGAAACCCAACCGTAAACACACATGCAGTTTTTTCCTTCAGCGACATGAAAACACAAATGGTGCCATGCAAAACTTTGAGGGAACCATGAATGTCAGCATAGTTTTACTGGTTTCAGAAGTATATACTTTCTATAGGTATATAGCTATCATTTAAGGTAAACAGCCTGCCAAAGATTGCTTTAGCAGTTCCAAGGCTTCTTCCCACTTCCTATATTCAAGGAGTAAGCAGACAGCTATACAAATTATTGCCAGCTTTCCTTTAGATTAAGGCACAGTTAGTTTTACTAATCCGATGTGTTGTTTTTTTCTAAATAGAGAAAATAAAAACCATCCCAAGAGATACCGCATCTTAAATCTTATTAAAGGACTTGCCATGATACTCAGAGTTATATATATTCTGCATATGAAATTTTTCTATGGGAAATGTTGCACTTACAAAATATAGCAAAAGGAGGGGGAGAGAGACTATACTGTACAAAAACGACGTCTTGCTTTAACGAGATAATAAGCCGAGTACGTGAAGCACCGATTTATCAGACACCAGGACGTGCTGATTGTGGTCAAAGGCATCACCGCCACAAAGCTATCAGCTGGGCGTTACGTTTTGTAAGCATGAGAACCGGCGTTAGGCATGACCAAGGCAGGGAGGGAAAAGCAATGGCGCCAGGTCTTGAAGAACTTTCCCCGTCAAAGAAACAACGTCCCGAAGACGAGACTGGCTCCACGGACAGAAGCCAAACAGCTTCCAAGTCTAAGGAGACGAAGCCTCCCGAGAAAGCGCCAACGACCTACCTCGCTCCTTCTTGCCCATCTCTGAGGAGCTCCAGGCGACGCAGCCCCCCCGCCCGTGAGCGTCTCCCGTTAGCCCCACCGCTTCCGGAGCAGAAGAGAGCGAATCCGATTGCTCCTCCTCCGTGACGTCACCACGGGGGGAGGAGGAGGAGGAGGAGGAGACGGACGAATTTGCAGTAGTCTGTAGTCTGTAGACCGGGGTGGAGCGGGCGGGACAAATCCTTGCAGGAGGCGGAGCGAAAACTTTGCGAACCGGGGATGGGAGACCTCTTGGAAATAGCAAGACCTGAGGATGGGAAGTTGAAAAACCCGAAACGACGGAAGACATGTCCGCGCAGCTTCCGTACACACAGCGGCCTCAAGGGCAGCCTTCTTCCAGTAGAAACGTTTTTAATCTTGGCAATGTCGTCGCATTGGAGCACGGTCTTTTTCATTCAGTGAGATCTATTGCTGTGTGGGAAATGGATGTAGGACTGCAGCCATAAGTAGCGGTTCATGTGTTTGTTTTTTTGCTCCTTCACCCGTTCACAATCAACGCCAAGAGCCATGACACTGGAGAGGAGGGGAGAAGAAGCAACTCCTGTCTCCAGCAGCTCGGATTAGGCGAGATTTTTTTGCTTCTTGAAGAACAAGTACCAATTATAAAACTACTAAGAGCTATTTTTAGATCAGCCATGTAAGTCTCTTCGTGGAAGAGCAGAGATACCTGCTCCTAACAATGTTGACTTGGGGCAAAAGGTCTCTTCTTTCTCCATCTCAAAACCCCCAATAAAGAGAATATTTCAACCTTGTCTCGACTCAGTAGCTCTCAACAAATTCCAAGGATTCCAATGTTCAGGTGTAACTCAGCACTATCTGATCCACATTTCACCATAGAAGTTGCTACAAATGAGGAATTTTTCCACCAGGCATTATTTTGAAGAATTCAGGTCTTTAAAAAGAGAATGACCTTCCAACAGACTCAGAAAAAAAAATCATGTTAAAAGAGAATCAAGAAATGAGGCTGAATTCAGAGCAGGAATCAGAGCATTATGCAGTCTGTGGGGTATTTTAAAGTCTCTACTCATAGTGGCTGAGGATATTTCTCAGACTATTTTATGTTTGTTTTTAAAAACTTAAAGAATCTGGTTTAAAAGTCGTCTAAGAATGCATTTGACCCTGTAAGCATTCTTTAAAACTAGTTGGCTGTACCTCCAATTTGTCCGTAAATGTGTCCCCTAGTCCAAATCCCTCACCAAAACAAAAGGTTAGTCAGAAAAATAGGTAGTATCTGAGATATCTTGAATTATTGACAGCTAGCCTAGGAATACAAATCTTGTTTTATTAGCGCAATACAGAAATTAGCAAATAGCGCTCTACCATTTCAGCTAGAGCTGAGTATAGCAGACTATGTTGCTTACAGAAGTGCAACACAGAGAATCCTCAATTTACAACCACAGCTGGGACCAGAAATCCAGTTGCTAGTCATGGTAATTGTAAGTAGAAACATCCACAATTGGCCTGTTTTTTTCAACTTTTTTCACAACTGTCATAAACTGAACTATGCAATTGTTAGGAGAACCCATTCTGAATGGACATTTTTTGCTAGAAACTAGCAAAAAAAAAAAGTCACAAACTGCAGTCATGGGATATTGTAACCAGCTAAGATCTTGATATGCAGTCATGTGACCACAGGTGTGTGTGTGTGTTGTGCCATTTTACAATAGTTGTGTTTTACAGACCGTAAAGCACCCATTCAGAGCCCTTCATAACTCCAAATGGTTGTTAAACTACTGGTTGTAAGTCGACTGCAGTTATTTTAATATTATACACATTGAAATCAGAAAAACATTTTGTACAGAAGTGCTGTATTAAATGACTAGTGTAGCACCATGATGAACCTATGGCACGCATACCACAGGTGGCACACAGCCATTTGTGTGGGCACAGGAGCCTGAGTCAAATTTACCTGCACTGTGCATGTGTGTGCCTCCCAGCTGATTTTCAGCCTGACAAATGCCCGTTTTCAGCCTCTGGAAGGGCCTCTGGAGCTTGGGGAGGCTGTTTTTGCCCTCCCGAGGCTTGAGGGAAGCCTCTGCAGCCTCGGAAGGCTGAAAAACAGACCTTCCGGAAATACCGGAAGAGCCGAAACGGGCCCGTTTTCCACCTCCTGAGGCTTTCCTCGAGTCTCCAGGAGGGCGAAAACATCTCCCGAGCTCCAGAGGCCCTCTGGAGATGAAAACAGGCACCACCTCCAGTATTTCCAGAAGGCCTGTTTTTTTGTCTCCTGAGGCTGCAGAGGCTTCCCTCAAGCCTTGGGTGAAAATGGTCTCAAATGGACGGAAAAGTAGCTGGGAGACATGTGCAAGCGCAGTGCAGGTAAGGGGACGGGATGTTGCGCGCGCATGTGCAGGGGGGCACATTGCATTGTGGGTGTTGGCATACATGCGTGCACACAACGAAAAGGTTCGCCATCACTGGTGTAGCATATTTATTGAGGCTGTAATTTAAAACCTAAATATGGCAAATTGGAATCAGTGAAATTTATTGCCAAATCAATTTATATACAACCTCACTTTGGAAACAGAAGTTTATTCAAAATCCACTTAATGTTTATAATCAATTCTGAATTTGCCATTTTCCACTTGCAGGCAAACTAATCTGCAAGATTTATAAAAATTCTTGAAATATGTATAAACTATAGACGATATATGAAAGTATAATTATATAAGTGCTAAATATTATTAACATACCTTTTGAAATAGAACACACACATTGGAAATAAATATTTGTTTTATTAACACTTAAAAGTGCCATTATCTATAGTCATTTCATAAGCTCATAAGGTTACATCCAGTATACCTTTGCACCATAACCTTTCCAGAATGAAATAACATGGAAGGAAAAAAAATCTTTCTTGTATTAATTCTTGCAGGTCCTCATGCACAATCGTTCTGAACGAAGATGTGTACCAGCAATATACACATTTCATAAAACAAAGTCATTTGGTCAAACACAAGATAATAAAAGCATGGCTTACTTTATATTTGATAAAGACCCCAAAATAAAATAAAAAACCATTTACCAGCAGGAAAATAATGGATAATACATACTTTTTTTTAAAAAAAATGAAAAATTATACATTTTGTACAAGCACTATAACAAAGTCTTAATGTGCATGAACAATGGAACAAACCACACCATACCAGGCCATTAGTACACTCTTTTAAAAAAAAGAATACCAGTTTTATGTCAATTCTTGAGATCCCTAGTGCTCTATTTCCCAACCTTATAGTTGGTGCGTCTTAATTAATACAAAGATTCTTTCAAACTAGGTTGTCAACTTAAATTTAAACATTGGTATTCTGCTAGTACCCTTAATATGCTTTAATTTTCCCAGTACCAGAAAACAAGGAAAGATTTAAGATCCAGAGGGAGACATAACATTCATTGTAACAAAAGGGAACAGGCAATAAAAACACCATCTGACTTTTCTAAGACTGGTTACGTGTCTCAATTTTTTCAAGCAGCTATAAATTCAAAGATTGCTTTCAGCTTTGCAGAGCAGTATTACTATTCTCTGTATCAAGGAAACACTTTTCAGGGTTTTTTTTTTAAAGAGAGAGAGAGAGAGAGAGAAAGAGAGAGAGATACAATCCTTACAAGACAAACCAAACCATTGTCCAGCCAGAGTGTTTTAATATACAATTCATGTCCAATTCTGGAAATACAAATACATTTTGAATGGTTAAAAACAAAAATTAAAAAAATATTTTCTGAATATCAGCCAGCTGAAAATATATTTATCTAGTAAATTATCTTTCAAAGCTTTTATATATTTATCTAACTAAATGCAGTACCTTTAAAAAAAGAATTATTTAAAAATGTAGAAATGAATCTGGAGTCTGTTGGAAAGAGAAAACACAGTACATTAAAGGTATCTTTGTATACCTTATTTTTTTAAAGTTAGACATCTTTGCCACAACCCAAAATTTACTGAGGCTTTGATGAGTGCATGAAGTTTCATGTAAGCAGTGTTTCCTTGGTTGTTTCATACTTCTGAAAAGTTTGCATGCACTCTCATCACACATAGGTGAAAAAAATTTGACATTTGGCCAATTTTCCACTCGAATAATGGTCAAATACCCAAAACTGAATGTGAAAAGGCTTACATTAAAGACAGGAAAGAGAAAACTCAGTTAACTGCTATTTTAAACCAATTATGTTGCAATCTATTGCCAATATTTGATTAGTATATTCCAACAGTATGAAGTGAGCTGGAAAATCCCTGTTCACAAATGAAATTATTTGTGTGCAGTTGGGTGTCCGTGTGCGTGCATGTGTGAAAAAGAGAATAAGCTGCTTAGATGCAACTAAATTGCTGGATTAGATTTACAATGGGGAACTAGCAAGCAACGTTAATGTCCTGAGTTCCTCAACCAAGATAAAGCCAGAAGTTGACATACATTTATACTGAATTAGAAAATCATCATACATTCAAGACAGTAGTACATTGCACACATACATTTTTGCATACACTCCATAACAGTTGGTCAGAGTATTAAATCAGTGTACAAATTAAACATTTTCAAAAAATGTGCAAAAGAGTCAACATCGATAGAAAAAAATACCATTGTGTACATACGTTACAAACTGTGCCCAGCATTCAAACAGAGAGTAAAAACATTTAGAGAAATAAAGGGATTAAATAGAGAATTTGACAGCTGCATAAAAATGTACATTAGATCAAAAGGATAAGATTTATATATTGATAGCTTTTTGAAAAACGAGTCTGCCACTGACTTCCTCATATTAGTGACACTTGGTAGAGGTATGACAGTATGAACATATCATAATTGTGGTAATCTATTTCTTTTTTACAGTTAAAAGTCTCAAGTTTTAAACTGGTGATATTAGCAAAACAATAATAGAAAAAGCAAGCAACATGAAATTGAGCTTTTAGACCCTGTTCCAAAAAAAAGCATTATATATTTTTAAAAACTGATTATGTGCCTGTTGAGTGCACATGTGCATACGTGTGGGGTTGCATGGGGTTAGATGGTATGTGAAGTTAATAAAATGGAATAATTCTAAACACGTTAACTT